GCACCACTGACGCCAGGCAAGTCAGGCATCAACCTGAGTGTCCGTGGATAGAAGACGCAATGGAGGCAAGGCTGGGTGTACACCCACTGGAATACCATTCAGCCCTTATAAGAAGAAAATCCCACATTCGTGGCAAAGGATACAAAGTTGCAGCTCCATAGAAGGAAGGAGCTCCAGAGCTCTGCTGTTCAGTGTGGCGAGGACAGTTAACTTATCCTACGGTGGTTAATTACCTATGTATATTGTATTCTTGCAAATGCTAAGACAGTGGATTTTCAGCGCAATCACCACAAAGATGATCAAATATGAGCACTGATAATTAGCTAGATTTAGTCATTGCAGAAAGTATATAAACATCAAAACACCATGTTGTACATGGTAAATGCACATAGTTCTGTCAAATTAAAAAAAATGTTAAAAAAAGGAAAAGTTCCCTCACTTTCCCATGCTGAGTTGCACAGAAGGGTCCACTGTATTCACAGAGACATGGAATATTTTCTTTATTTTTCCTTTCTGTCTTGGCTCAGGAAAGCTCTGGTGGGTAGGTAAGTATCTGCTCTTGGTCTAGGCCGATTAAAAGATTTCACGATTTTTCAAGTTTCACTGGAATCTATTTCCTAAACTTCAGTTCAGGTTGAAGTTCTTTCAGGAAAATTAAAGTTCACCAAGAAATCAGGCAAAACGTATTCATTTTACACAATGTAGCATTTTGATGAAATTTCCTGTATAATAAATAATAAATGTCAAAATACTTTAGGTGAGTAAATGATTTGAACTGGTTAAGTTACAAAATATAGAGTCAAAATATTAATATCACTTGGGGTTAGCAGCTAATGTGTTGTAACACACCTCCTACTGACCCTGACTTTTGGGGTGACACTAAGAGTCAGTTTTTATACGAACTTGATATGACAGGAGGGCTTCGGGAACTCTGAGGTGGCAGTAACATGTGTTTTAATAAGCCTTCCAGGTAATTCTGACACATGGTAATGACCTGGTTTACACCGTAACCACCTCCACACAAACCACAAATTCAAATACCCAAAATAAAGATCAGCAGTGGCACTAAGGCTCTCTCGTTAAGCTTCTGAACATTACCCTCCTAGGATACCAGCAAGGAGGCTTGTTGTTGACCAGACATGCTTTGTTTTCCCATGTCAAACAGAATCCTGGCATGTGAAGAAATCCTGAAATCAGTGAAGAAACGGGCTGTCCTTGAGCTGGAAGGAGGTACCTGAGCTGAGACAGGCGCACTCAGGAATGAATCAAGGGCTGCTGTGTCTGAAACTGGGACACATCACCAGTTCTCGTCCCCCAGCACAGAAACCTGCACCTGGCCCTGTTTCCACCCTACCTGCAAGCTGGAAAGAATCCCTACTGGGCCTGAGCACACCCAGGAGTGATGGTCACAGACCAGCCTCCTCGTCTCAATCCATTCAGTGTCAGGCTCCTCCCGGAAAGGATGAGACGTGCACTGGGCCATCTCTGGCAGACCACAGGAGAAAGACACGCTGGTGTCATATAGTCGGGTAAAAGGCATTCAGCTCAAACTCCCTAAGGTCAGGTGGGGTGGGAGTAGACCACACCATATGGGAGCTGCAGACGAGGAAGCTGGCCCCCTGGCAGACCCCTCTCTACGGATGTCCTCTTCCTGCTCACCAGACAGTCTATGGACAGAGCAGGAGCCACAAGAGGTCTCCCCTGCTGCTGGAGGCTTGGGGAGGGGACTGGCCACAGTAATGAGAAAGGCGCAAGGCTTGCTGCAAATCAGTCTAAGCCTCCGAGAGAGCATCAGAAAACCTTGTCACCTCCAGGGCCAGGGTACAGACCCACCACAGGCCTTGGAAAAGTTAAAAACAAAACTAGACAAAACCAACGAAGAAAACCAAAACTTTTTACCCCTTGGGGAAGTCTTGGATGCAGGACGTTAACCAATCACATTTGAGATCATCTGTCACCAGGGCAGGAAAAGAAAGTCCTTTCCAGAGAAGACCAACCGGGAATACGCAGAGCCTGGCACCAGCACAGAGGGGAGGCCCAGAAAGGAGGCCCAGCCCAAGACCTGACCGTGCAGGGCTAGGGTCGGGGCTGCCCAGAACAGCCGAGAGTTCCTCGCCTTCCCCACCAGATAGACACACCAAGAGACAAGCAGCTGCCACCCACCGCAGGGGAAAGGAAGAGAGCGCAGAGACACCATGTGTGGTAGACACGAACAGAGAAACTGAGTGCGAGCACGGGAGGCTGAGCAGACACCTCTTATCCAGCCTCCACACTGCAGCAAAGGACTGTGGGGCCAGTGGTCATGCTGATGGCAAAGACAGGGCCAAGAAAAGTGCTCCAAGTAGATGCACTTAACACTTCCACCCACTAACAGCTTATTAACTAAAGAGACGCCGCCACTTCCAAAGAGAATGTCTACTGTTACACACAATGCTTAGTGTGTAATTTTATTCAATTAAACATTACATGACACACAGAAAGGCCAGGAAAAAACAAACGACAACCAGAAAAACACTACAACAGCACTCTGCTAAGAGCACCCAACAAGCAGACTGAGACACAGCCCTGCTTACAGCAAACAGGATGTGAAGAGACTGTGGTTACAAGGCCAAAGATTCTAGAGTGACACAGGAACACAGAACAGATAGGAGATTTCAGCAGAAAGATGGTGCTATAATTGAACTGTGCTCTTTCAAAATTCAGATGCTGAAGCCCTAACCCCTTATGTGACTGTACATATTTAAAGACAGGACAATTAGGTATGGAATTATGGCTAAATGAAGCCATGGGTGGAGCATTAGTCCCACAGGGCTGGTGTCCCTATCGGACAAGGGACAGACCCTCGAGTGTCCTCTCTCCTCATGGTGTCATCCCAAGGCCAGGCCTATAAGGACTCCAGGGCAGGTGGCCACCCACATGCCAGGAATAAGAGACTGCACTGGACACCAGCCCTGAAAAGCACTTGACCTTGGACTTCTAGTCCCAAACTATGAGAAAATAAATTTCTGTTATTTAAGCAAGGAGTCTGTGGTATATCATTATGGCAGCCAGCCAGAGTAACACAATGGAAACTATGATTACGAGTCAAATGTAAGCGCTAGAAATAAAAAAAAAAATGGTAAGAAATAGAGAATGCTTTTAACAAGTCTGCCCATAGATTCAAGATGGCCAAAGAAGTAGTCGCTAAGCTTGAAGATAGGTCAATAGAAATTACAAAGAACGACAAAAAATTAACAGAACATTCAAGATTTGCAGGATTTATCAATCTGGCAAAGGTGTAATTTGAATCCCAGAAGAAGAGAGACCATGATGCAGAAGAATTATGTGAAGAAATAAAGGTTGGGAGCTTCCAAGGTTAATGACAGACACAATACAGATGCAAGAACTCAACAAATCCAGAGAAGACTAAACACCACAAAATCCCTAACCAGAAACACATCACAGATGAACACACACACCTGGATATGTTACTTAAACCCCTAATGACAAGAAAATTTTTAAGGCAGACATAGAAAAAAGTATAATTACTTACACATAAATAAAAATAAGGTTTACAACACAATTATAAGAATCTATAAAAGATGGGAAATAATGAAGTCAGGTGTTTAAAAAAATGAAGAAAGAGAATTGTCACCCTAAGATTCTATACACATGAAAATATCTTCCAAAGGGGCTATTACACGTTCTCCGTACACATTATAAAAGGAAGTTCTCTGAAGATAAAGACTATGAAACCAAACAAAATTTTAAACTACCAAAAGAAATGTCTTTGTTAACATCTACTTCCTCAACTCCGTTAACAACTGCACTGCTGAGAAGGACACAGCCTCTGTATTTCTCCCTGAGGTTCAGAGTGCTCCTCTCCCAATCAGGACCTTGGACAGGACTGGAAAGCAGCTGCAGCCCCATGGGGCTGTCATCTCAGCACCCAGCGCCCTTCAGCAGAGGGGTTGATGGGAACCAAATCTCTGTCTGGAAAGTCACCTCCATGCTGGGAATGTGAATGGCTTGGCAACTATCTCTGATAATAAGGCCTTTTTGTAAAAAAAAAAAAAAAAATTTCACTGGAGGGAAGGGTCCTAACAGAAGATTTTAAAAGCATCATGATTGGACTGCTCCAGGGAGCTACCTGGACCCAGGACCAGCACTTTCTGGACCCCAGACAATGCTTGTCCTCAACTAGAATGCCCACTGGATCTGCTTCTGAGAACAGCAAATTGCAGGACATTGTTAAAATTTCTATAGTCCTGGGCAGCGCCTGTGGCTCAAAAGGGTAGGGTGCCAGCCCCATATGCCAGAGGTGGCAGGTTCAAACCCTGCCCTGGCCAAAAAAAAAAAAAATTTTTTTTCCATAGTCCTTTAATTTTATTTCTTTAGATTATACTCTTCAAATTCTTTGTGGCCTGTAATGAAACTTAACATTTACTGTCAGATGACCAGGCCAAAAGGCAAGACTCAACAAATGAGGGAGGGACAGGGAACGTTAATGGTCATCTTTGAATTACTCAAGCAGAATAAAATATGGGAGGAACCTAAGGATATCAGCATCCCTCTACAGAGGGCAACATATTATGCAAAAATAATACTCTACAAACCATGGGACAAAACTGACTTTAGAAAAAACACATATGCTTTGTATCTGTGGCAGGAAGTGAATTATTATTCTATTACTTTCTTGCTGAATTTGATTTTTATTTTTTGTTACTTCATTTATTTTCCACATTTGGAGACATCATTACCAATAACACACTGGGAAGTGCAGCCTACTGATTGCAGGGACTTCAAGCAAGTAATTACTTGTAAAGCATCCATGCTGTCACCTTGACCTACAAAAGCAAGGATTTGTTTAGTGTGGGTAGGAAAGCACAAGAAGGAAAATTTTTTCCAGCTGCCTACTGATTCAATTCGATTAAATAAAACATTTTATTTTATTTCCGAGTGCTAGCCACAAAAGACAGGGCAGTGAGCTTACTGGAAAGAAAACAGCTGTGCTCACTTACTAATTTGATGCGGTGGCCGGGGGTGGTGCTGATTCCCCACGTGCACTCCTTCCTGCTGGGGTACTTGTCGGGCCAGTTAGGACTGGTGATGAGGCCACTGGGACTATGGATCTTCTGCTCACACTCAGCTGCGCCAAGAACCAGAACATGAGTTAGTGCAGAAATCCAGTCTGGGATCGCCCGGTGCCAGCGGCCCATGCTCCCGCTGCCCTGTTGGGAGGGTTTCCCAACGACTGACCCCCTGCCACACCACTGTGGCCACACTCCTCTGCTTTGGGAAGTACTTGTTTGCTGTCTGCCTCACATGCAGACAATGAATAATGAATAATGAATAATAAATAATAAATGCTAAACAGAACTGAATCCCCTTTTCAACTAAGGAGTCTGTAGCTCAGAGTTTTCCAGAGCAACAGATATCAACAATCAAAAATATCAACACTGGGTATGTGCGAGATATTTAATACAACAGAGAAAAATCTTGGGCCATGTCATTTTCAATTCTTTTTTTCTATTAACTGAAACATCACTCACAGCTAACATCCTGAAGGTAAGTTTTGAATCCCATATTTGCATCTTCCCTCTCCTTTAGCTAAGTGTACTCTTGAATACCTAACTCAGAATTTTAGCTACTAAGAGAAACAAGCCTTAATTTTATCAAAGAAAAAAGAAGAATATAGGGAAAAATAAGTGAACAGCTACTAGTCCTAGAGACAGCTTCTGAACTAATTTCAAAGAGTATCTCATTAAATTGGCACCTTTTTTTTTTTTTGGCAATTAAAATAACGTCATTTTAGACAAGACCATTCCACATTGTTAATACCAAATTTCAAAAATATTTAATATCCTGAGGCTTTTTCATTCTATATGATTTATGATGCTATACCCTTCACACCCTGGTTTAGACTGGGATTCTCCACTCTGGGCAATACACCCGTTACCCTGTTGCAAACAAGGGACACGTGCCCAGCCTCAGCTACTGCCCTTGCTGCTGCAGCTGCGGCCACGGTTCACTCCTTGAGACTACACCTGCTGTCACTGTAACAAATTTCCATGCAGAGATCTGAATTCACCACCAAAAAAGAGACAGGTGAAGTTCAGCTCCTGTCAAACAATCTATGGAAATGATATCAAGACAATAGTCTCAGAAGTTTGGTTCCAGTTCCGACAGGGCTTCTATTCCATCGCCCTCTTTGCCTTGCCACGTGAAATGTGAACTCTGCAGAATTCAGCAAGTGGCCTGAGAGAAAGCTCAGAGGTTCTCTGCTGAACTGTACAAAAAACATGTGTGATAGCAGAGGTTAAAGAAAATCCCACCCATTTCCTAGCAATAGGGATGAACTTCATTTAGAGGTACCTGGATATCATCATATCTGAAAGAAAATTTCCTTGAAGTTCATTTATTGAAAAGACTGGCTTCTATAAACAGGGATGTATTTGCTACCTGTGAGCCACAGGCTACGCATATAATCTGCAAAAGCTGTCTCATTTGTCTCATTCTTTTCTTCTGAATTAGCTTCATGTCTGGGGAAACATAACTGGCCAGATGCCCAACCTATTGATTTACTAGAACATATTACTAAGCTACAAATACAGGAAACATTCTGCTTGCATGTGACTCTGCACAATGCCATTTCTCAGAGGAAAAAGAGAAAAGACCACTGACACGTGATCATATTTGAACAGAGCTGAATGGAGCAAAGGTCAAACAGAATAATCTCTAATGACTTAAATGACTAGTCTAGTATATTAATAAGAATGATTTGAGTATGTACACCTCACGCTGCTGGCTAAAGTTATGAAATTTGTCTTGGTAATTCTCCTCTCAAAAGAGGTATAAATCAAATTTAAGTAGAAAATTCACCCTCAAAGGAAGAAGTAAGAATGGAAAGACTATTTCTTGTCTCCACATGACACCCGTCAATGATCTTTTCATCATAGTGGCTGAAGGGAGTAAGATCATTGTTTTCAAGAAATCTTGAAATTTGTAAGGTGTTGGGGACAAAGTCTGATAGGTATCTTTGTGCTACTAGTATACATTTTGGGGCCAACACTGTGACTTAAAATTTTAAATGACAGAGTCTCTACCATTTTCAAATGTCTTTCCTTTGGTTGGCATTTGAGTTTGATACTCCTGGTATTTCAAGGGGTGTTACTGAAGTAGCACATATGTGAGATATTTTGGGGATGGATATTACATGAAATGTTAAACATTTAACTGAATTAGGTTGGAATATGAACAGTGTTATAAGATCTGTTTTACAGAGGCCTGGGATAACAGGGGCTTTTCTGGCTACCAGATGGCAGATAGCCACTTCTATATCTGTTATACTCTAATGCCACCTACACGTGAAGGATGGATCCAACGGTACCGCTGGGACGTCTAGATGTTACACAGGTTTTTTTTTTGGCCATTTGAATAGTCAACCAGATAGCATTCACTGAAATGATGAACTTTACTGAGAAGTAGTGCTTTACCCAGACAATGTGAAACACTACACGTTATCCAGGAAAGAGTGTTTCCTCTCATACCTTCCTTACAGTCGTGCTTATTTTCATGTAGCACAAAGCCGTTACGACACTGACAGATGTAGCTTCCCATCGTGTTGAGGCACTCGTGCTGACACCCGCCGTTGTCTTTAGAACATTCGTCTTTGTCTAGCAAAGAGATAAACCCCATAGTTTAGTAGGTAATTTTAAAAACAAAAAATATTGAAGGAGAGTTGTTTAGTTGTGGTTAACATTGGCAAAGTGTAAACTAAGTTACAGCTTTTCCCATTCCCAACATAAAACAGAAAATAATTATAATTGCTTAGTTTTACCCTTTCCTTGTTTAGTTCAGAGCCTTGTACCATGGGTTGGGTGTCCATGACCACTTGTGCTACAATGGCAACTGGTACTTTCATTCCTATGCTGATGAGAAGGAGGAGGAAATCGACAGATCTTTTTGCAAATTCATCCTAAGTATTTATTGCTAATTCTGAAAAAGGAACTTAAAACTGTGCATAGTTTGAATAAAGGCAAGAAATAATATTTAAGGAAGAGGGAAATCATTCAATATATTTACCATGGTGTATAGACAAAGGCTAAACAAGGCTCCAAGGTTTGTATGTAATCACTTTAAAAAAAATCATTCAGTATAACTACTGTAGTTGATTTTTTTTCCATTAACCTTGCAGTTGTGCTTAGCATTAATGAATCTGGATATTCCAAAACATTCCAAGACAGGAAAAAGCATCATTAGACTACTCTCAAGAAGAAAATTAATTTATATATTTTAAACAAATCTACTCTGGCACTCCAGTTCATTAATACGTAATCCCCTAAAAGGGCTTTTAATGCACTAGAAGTGAAGGTTAGACTAGGAAATATGAGCTTTAAGAAACAGCCAACAAATTCACTACAGGGAAAAAAGCCAAGCTAGATTAACAAGCGGTCTGTGCAGGGGGAGGCGTCAGCTTTCACACTGCGGCTGTCATCCTATGGCTGGCTTGTCCCTCATAGTCAAAACTGGCAGCCTGCTCCTAACACACGGTTTGACGACACGTCACTCAGGCACCCATCACTCCCACACAGAAAGAACAGGAAGGACACGTTACAGTCACAGAACTCAGGCTGGGTTCAAATTTCTACACTCTCAGCTGCTTTTCCTGGTGAGCTCCTGCTGGCATGCACAGTCTGCTATTTTTCCTTTTTTATCAAATCAATATTTACTCTATGGAAATAGGGGTAGGGAAGATGTTTTTGTTAGAGAACCTGGCATCAGTTTTTAAAAGTGCATCTATTTTTCTCCTTTGGGAGATGGATTACATGGCATATAGACCATACATGCTTAAAAGAGTTATTCAAGTGCTGGCTGTATCAGAACATTTCAAATACATACAGGCAACCTCAAGTTTTAAAGGAGATATCAGAATCAGTGTGTTTGTGACTTGTCCACTGGTCTTCTAATATGTACAATGAAAAACAACATAAAAAAGCAGAATAAATTTAGAAAATTATTCTGGCCGGGCATGGTGGCTCATGCCTATAATCACACCACTTGGGAGGCTGAGGCATGTGGACTGCTTGAGCTCAGGAGTTCAGGACCAGCCCGAGCAGAGCAAGACCTTGTCTCTAAAAATAGCCCGGTGTTGTAGCAGGCACCTGTAGTCCCAGCTACTCAGGAGGCTGAGGCAAGAGAATCACTTAAGCCTAAGTGTTTGAGGTTGCTATGAGCTGTGACGCGATGGCACTCTACTCAGGGTGACAAAGTGAGACTCTCTCTAAAAAAAAAAAAAAAAAAAAAAAATTCTTTAAAAGAGCACCAAATGCCAAAATGTATAAAAATCCAAATAGAGAATTAGTTTTGTAACCTCAATTTTAGAGAAATTCATTATATTTTTGAACCCCTATTTCCTTAACTATAACAACAGTGAGAATAATGTAATAGTTTAAAAATTATGAGAGGCCTATCCAGAAAGGGTTGGTGGTAAACCATACTTCCTACCACCATGGTGCGAGAGACTGCATTTTCTAATACTGAAAGTTAAGCAGTAAACTATTTAAATATATTATATTACTATAAATTTGCCGGGGCTATTTACTTAAGAAACATCAGAAAAATGCTTCCCTCTGAGTGTAGAAATACACCTTATCTTTGGTAAATGGAAAGAGTCAATTAAAAAAATTATGATGCCAAAATTACTCTGAAATAGACACATAATCTCTATGAAAATATTTACAGAATGATGGTTTTTTGTACTTAAAATAAGACCTGATAGGATGAGTTTTAGTTGAACTCCAGCTCAGCCAGTTTTTGAGAGTTGTTTAGAAACCTAACAATTGTAAGTAAAGTAGCTTGGAGAAAACTAGTTCACATCTGTAAGCGGCTGGTGACCAGATGGACTGTGCAGGAACCGCCCTCTGGAGGCAAGAGATGGCCTGACTCATCATTTTATCAGTAGCATTTGAATGGCCATACATGAGAGACACAGAAAGGTTAAAATATAAACCTGAACACGGTTATTCAGTAACACGTGCATTACTGTTGAGTGTTTAAATCCACAATCATTTCATGATGAAAACTCTGCCAAGACATAAAATACTCCCAATGTCTAAACTTCATTCTAGTGGAACTGTCAAGTCATTAGATGATACAGTCATTGATAGAACATAAACTGACTAAGGTGATGGTCACTATAGGGGCATAAAATCTGAAGTAAAGCCAGGGCTATGTAGCCCATTATTCACACTTCTGTTGTGCTGGAAAACAGTAATTTCAAAATAATTTTTGGAAGAAGAAGAAGAAAAAGTGGGGAGGAAGAAGGGGCGAAGAGGAAAGAGAAGAGGAAGGAGAAGAAATAGCAGAAAAGGATGAAGATGGGTTACTGTTATCTATACAGTCACGTCTGCCTAAGCATCGGTTATTTTTTACTTTCCCAGGTTAACACTGTTTCTTGTCTTCTTCCCCACATCTGATATTGCCTAATTTAATTTCCTCAAAGTCACATGAAAGTTAAATGTGCTATAATGTATTTATGGATTAATTGAAATTTAAGCTCAAGTTCAAAGCTGGACTAATCAAGGCGTGACTGAAAGCAGCAGAGGAAAGTCGCCATGCCCACAGGAGCAGCAGGGGCTGAAGCCACCTGTGTGTCAGAGTCACATTGAAAGAGAATCCCAGGAAGTCACTGGGATACTTGAAATCATCTAGATGTTTCTGGCGTCACTGTTCATAGCAACCTCAAACTCCTGAACTCAAGTGACCCTCCAGCCTCAGCCTCCCGACTAGCTGAGACTACAGGTGCCCGCCACCACGCCTGGCTTGTGTTAGAAACGGGATCTCACTCTTGCTCAGGCTGGTCTCCACCTCCTGAGCTCAAGGATTATAGGCATGAGCCACCGTGCCTGGCACATTTTAGACTTTTTCCCCTAGAAAGGTCACCTAACTAGGGGAAAAACTATTAGGAAACATAACTAACTTCCATTTTCACTTCCACTTCTGCTCTCAGGGCAACAACTTTGTGTTCTGAAGAATAAACATGCAAGAAAATGAGAAAAGTGAGGCAGATAGAAGGCTTTAAACATTTCTCATAGTGTCTGCATAATAAATTACACAACTGAAAAGGCTATCAGTAATTTATTTGAAATTTTCTGGCATTTTCATACATTAGACACAAAATAAAGAAGCAGTATTATAGTTCTTATTAGTGTTAGAAATAAATGTTTTGTTCAGGAGAAATAAACATTTATTTTTTGCATGTGGAAATTAGTCCCTTCTTTGGAATGGACATACCCGCTTTCCATTCCTCTGAGTTAGATACAGAAAAAAGTCCCTCATCAGGGAAAACGAAGGCGGTGTTCCCCCCGCCCCCAAGGGGCCTGCAGCACCTCTGAGCCTGTCCAGGGCTGTGAGACCATGAATAATACATACTGGGCAGAACTGAAGTGGCAACTTGTATCATGTTCTTGCAAGATTCAAAAATAAAAATTTTCTCATTGCAGAGAGCTTCCTTATCTGTAGGAGAAAGAAGTCAACATTCCATGCAACAGAACTGAAACACACATGAGCAGATGCCTTCCAAGTGAATGCTCAGGATCTGAAATAAACACTTGCACACAGCAGAACACACAAAGATTCAACACAGAACCGCCCCGTAAATAATCAACTTCAAAAGGCACAAGTTAACTCCTCCAAGAGTTACAACAGAGACAATCTGCTCTTTCAATAAACATGCAGATACTTAAATTCCAGTAGTCACAGAAACTTGGAAGCACGATTCAAAAATCATATAGGAAAGCTGCAGCAGTCTCACTATTTGTCATTAAATCATGCTAATATTTAAAGTTTTGTCAGTCATATCGGGTTCAATTTCATCTACAAATACCAGCAAAAGCTCTATGGGAAAATTCACGTACAAGAACTGTTGTGCCCAGGAGTTCCACAAAGACCACACTGCCAAACAAGCCAAATTTACAGCAGAGTCCTTTTATGGAAGAGCTGGCTGGCGACTGCCTCAGTGTTCCAACATGGGGTTTCTGAGAGCAGCCCTGAGTGCTTAACAGGTCAGGTTTTAAGGGCTTAGGTTATTATATTCTCAAATACAGAAAGAAAAATAGACACACGATTTCACATAATGTCCACATAGTCCTACTTTGGCATTTCTAATTTCTTTGTTTTCATATTACTTAGTTATAATGCATGGTCTTTAAATATACCATGAAATTAAGAAAGTACATTTCATTTTGATTTTTGCAGAAAGCCTTATAAATTTTCTTTGTAAAATATAATAACTTCCAACTTTCAAGCTATGCAATTTTTGTGACTAATTCATGATGTTTCATCAGAATTGAAATATGAGAGTTTCTTAATTTTATGAATATTAAAGTGACAGAAATCATGTTAATTGTTCTGCTAATAAGTTCTTAGAATTATCATTTTAATTTCATTTCTTAAATCTTAAAAAAATACTTATTTAAAACCTGAGACTGTGCAAAACCAGCTAAAATCTCTTAATTGATTATTTTATTAGATAATGAGATGTTATGTAGAAAAAATACTACAAATACATTATTTCATTCTGTGCATTGATATTTATCTATCTGTATTTACATTTCAGAATAATATGAGGGTACAAATGTTTGGGTTACACTGTCCTCGTTTCTAAGGTAAAGTT